GAGGGATATAGGGATACAGGAGGTAACGAAGAGGAGAACAGAAGTGGGGAGCCTCTACCGACTACAGGCCTCCTTATATACTATGGGGTACCGACCGTATTAGGAAGGGAAAGGTAACCGACCAAAGTGGGGAGGTATGAGGAGACTGTAAAGGAACGCGTCTGGTCGAGGCTGGGCCCAGTATAGTACAAGACCTAGGTCAGGGTCCTGTGATATAACCGAAAAGGGATAGAGACGGGACAGGGTCCTGAGTCTAGGTCAGGGTCGGGCAATATAACCGAAAAGGGAAAGGGGCGCGACAAGGGTCGGGGTCTGGGTCAGGGTAAAGTAATGTAACCGAAAAGGGAAACGGTCAGGGTCGGACTCAGGGTCCGGTCATATAGACGAAGGGGGAGATATTGAGGGAGAGGACCGGGGCTAGGAACATAGTCGTCAGGGGGCGGAACGGGGGATGATAGTGTACAGGCGGACAACGAGGGAACGGGAAGGTAAGCATAGGTCGCCGGGGACGGGAAGGGGAGTGGAGTGTACACGAGGGCGACGAGAAGGAGTAGTCCAATAACGAAAAGATAGGGGGTGGGGCGTACCAACGGTAACACACAGCATATCTACGTGTCCGATAAGACCCTGAATAGTACGAAATCCTCATGTCGTAAGTACGGGTTCACAGAGAACTTATTATGAGTCTCGAGAGCGGTACTCGAGACCGTTTGACGATTCATCAGCCTCCCCCAGTTTGGAATGAGATGACACGATCGTACGATATCAGTAACCGGTATGACAGTGGCATACCGGCAATGCGAACGGGTAGACGGAGCCACCACATTCATGCCGGTTATGGGGTCGACCACGTGAAAGGCTGTAAACCACTCAACGTAGGCCAAGGGATCGTGAATGCCGAGTACATTGCCATCGTAAACACTAGGCAAGCGGAAGATCGCTCGAACGCGAGCAACGCGAAGATCTGGAGATGCAAAAGTTTGTATCAGCAAAATGTTCGCTCTACAATAGCACGGACATCCAGTTGACGAGACTGATGAGCATGGACCGGATTTTGATCACCTTCGTCAGGTGCATCAACCCGTTCTGCCATGCAGAGCCTTCAAAGGCCAACTTGAATTTCAAATTCGAGCGATGTACCTTCCAAAGGCTTGCGAACATTGCCCTGCCCCGGTGCTGGCGCGCTATGGTCAGAAGCGAGGGTACGAGTCTGCGCGAGGACTGTAGACACGTTGGCAGGGATTGTCGAGAGCTGATGAGGACCGGTACTGTGACGTGGTGGTGTGGCATGGATGATGTCGATGTGTACACGGCCATCGGAGGAGACCTGGCATACAGAAGGAACCAAACCTTGAACTGTTTGTAGACAGAGATGCGGGAGTGACCATGCAGTGGAGCAGCAGCAGCCTCAAGACGACGAGGGCTGCCAACGGAGACCTTGGCAACATACTCGGTGATGCACTGCAGTAGATCAGTGGCCCCAAACTCCTGGACGACCTCGGAAATGGTCAAATTGGGGTACGCGGGCTCCTTGGCGATGCGATAGCCTTTGACAAACGCAACTTCGTCGAGACAATCGTCCTTCGGATGGGCGTCTTCCTCGGCAGTTGTCCGCGACATACCAGCTCCAGCCCCGTAATGTTCCTCTTGCAGACGCTCCTCATCTTCCTTGTCTGTGTCTTCGGAACCTATGAACGTCTCCTGGGAAACCCCCGCGGCTCCCCCACTGCCCAAAGACCTCTTGTTGTGCTGTAGCTTATTAGCATCGTACCAAGCAAGGTAGGATGAAAAGCGGTGAATAGTCTCTTGCCAGTCAAGCCAACCGGTCATCTGCTTGAGGTACGTTGATTTCTTGTTACTTGCGCCATACGCGAGTTTCGCATAGTCGATGTGGAGTCGCTCGGGGTGTTCGGTGCTATATCCGTCGGCCGTGCCCAGTTCGCGGATGGCCCGTTCGTAGTGCTCGGTTGAGTGCGCCTTGGGGAAGTTGAAATCCTTGCAGATCCCTAGTTTGACGAAGATGGCCTTGTGTTTGTGAAAGTCGGTCCATGCTTGATGAAGCGCGTCGAGGGAAAGGTCGGTGTGGGTCTCGAAGTGGGTGTAATAGATGAAGTCGAGAACCGCCTATACCGTGCGCGTAACACGTTCGTCTGCAGCGCCGGCGATGACGCCCAAGAAGACCTTTTCCATGTTCTTGTACTCTGTTCCCGTCCATTGACAGACAAGGGAGATCCCCTTCTTGAAATGGTGTAGCTCCGGATGCCTAGCCATGGCCATATACCGCTGATCTATCTCGTCAGTACCGTTTTCGATTGACTTTGTGACCCAGCTAACGAGATGATCCTTGAACAGGCCTTTGTGTAGTTGATGGAAGATATCGGGAGTAAGGGCAGTAAAGATGTTGCTGTGAGGTAAGCTGTCCCAGAATGGCTCAATCGCGCGCAATCCTTTCGATTCGAGTTCGCTGTGCTTGACCTCGCCACTTGCAGCCTGCTTTAGGATTGCAAGGACTCGATCGGGGTCCTTGTATGGGCGATAGCTCGCCTCGCCTCGCCTCTTGGGTTCGACAGTGCACTTGGGACAGGAAGACTCGCTGCACCCAGAGACAAGACACTGCTCCGGGTGGTCGGCAACGTAGGCTGCTAGGATAGGGTAGACACGACGCTGACATCCATCCGCACAGGTCATAAGGACACCTTCCCGGCCTGCAAGAATCAGTGGCTTGAGCAGAGACCGCATGCATCTGTGGAAGAGCCGATACCCTTCCAGGGAGCGGCGTTTCTCAGAGAAGCATTCGAGCTTCATAGCTGGGAGATAGCCGAGGAGGAGGGTGGCATGGGATGACGGACGTCGGCGTACGTTCTTGTCAATGTTGCCGAGGGTGAGATATACCGGCCATGCAGTCTTGTCCCCGCTCATATGAGATAGCGTCGTCTTGTCTGAGGCGACAATCAAGGGTGCAATTGTCGCGCCTGGGGGTAGCTTGGTCTAGTTCATATCATAGGTAAGTGTATTGCATTTCAGTTTGGCTCGACACTTATTTACTTGGACACCCCATGTCACAGCCAACGAGCTGTGCCACCAGATAAACAAAGACAAGCTTACTGGTGATGGGGTTGGTGCTGAGGGGCGAAGCAACTCCAAGTGACACAGCAAGAGATGTGAAGAGGTGTATTCCCTAGACTAGAAGGGGCAGTAGAAGGTAGGGCTGCTAGCTACCTACAGAGGAGATGGGGGATCGACGAGAAGATCAAGTCTGAGGTTCCCTGCCTCAGACTCCCTACTATTTATACAAATGCAATGGTGCACAGACCAGGTACCTATTTGTCCCTGCTTGGTCAGAGTCTGCTGACTCATGTCCTGCCTCCTGACCTGTCACATGATGTCCTCATGACTGATACCTGAGTCATGCTAAGTCCGGGCTCCCTCCGATGAGTAAGCGCCCCTGCTGACGCGTGAGTCACCTGCCAGTGAGTGAGAATGGGCGCTCCCGGACCCCACAAGGTCCTGGGTTCGATCCTGGCTCCTCCACTTTCCGATACGAGTTGCTCGTGGTAAAGGTGGGCGTCTGTCCTGGTTCACATGACCCCTAGGTCATGTGGCACGAGAAAACTGTGACA